TCTTTTTTGTGTCCACACATACAGATCTGTCCCATTTCTCTCTCTGAAACCTGGATTCTGAGCACAAAGACATTTATGGATAAGATAGTTTTGTGCTGATGTAGGACCATCTGAATGATCCAATCTAAAATGTGGTGTATGTTCCATAAGCCCCAAAGGCGATTAAAGGTCAGAATTGTTTTAGGTTAAAAAAAAAAAAAAGGTCTCAGCTACCCCAGCATTACTTGTGTAGCATAACAATATCAGCATATCAACATGTGCCAGCCCTCGGGTTAAGCATCCCACCTGACCTTTCATTTATTTCTCAAAAGAATCCTTTATGATATGCTGTGGTAGCCATTTTATAAATGAGGTATCCATTTATGGTCAGCAGGTGGTGAAGCTCCAGGATTATCATGTGCACGAGCTGGTGCTCTCAGCCACCAGAATTCCTCTGCCTTTGCGCTTGCTCCTTGAGGTGGATCATGTACCACTGATTGTACTATTGTTCCTTCTCATCTATAGAGCTGCCTTTCCTAAATACCTCAAGGACAGAAACCTTTTTGTCATCTCATTTCTTAGTCAGATGATGTCATCCTTACAAAAATATCAGTTTTTCAACCCACCACTATGTCAGTTGACTTGACTTGTAGATATGAAGAATTGATAAGTGTGATTATCTACCACTGTCTCTTGGGTTTCATTACTAAATGGTTACCATTGAAAAATTCCTGGTACTACATGGATGAGATTCAGCATTAGGCGGTTTCCTACCTAAGGTATATCTTTTTCCTGAATTTTCAAACAGCAACCATTGATGAGGCAGCAATGACACGACAATTCACAAGATCAGTTTTTTTAAAAATGGACTTTTGGGGGAACACAATTTCTATTAAATCTAAATGTAATATAATCTCAAAACAAGCAATCTTGTACTGATCGAAACCACAGGTCTGAAAAAGTATATGTCAAACAGTCTGCTGCCTATTTATCTTTTGCAAAGCCTGTGAACTAAGAATGGTTTTCAGATATTCAAATGCTTGGAAAAAATGTTAAAGAATATTTTATAATTCACATAAATTATGTGAAATTAAATTTCAGGGTCCACAAATAAACTTGTATTGGAACACACATACAAAATCAGTTTTTCAAAGCAGACTTTCTCACTAAAAGTAGCTCTGGGCTCAGTTTTTCAACTCAAGTGAAATACAACAGCCTCAACCACCACCAGATTTCCTGTCCCTAGCCTGCTCTTTACCTCATGTTCTCCCTCAGATCTTTTAGACATCAACCTAGCACCCAGCTGTGCCAATTAGCTGGATTTCTTTGTGTCTTATTTTATAGGTTGTTGGTGTATTGTGTGGGTATGTTTTACATTTTGTCCATCTGCTGCATTGAAACGTTTTAACATTGATTTCAGGTAATCTCTAACTTTTAGGGAACTAATGCAAGTGAGATCCTTTCATCTGCATATATATGTGTGTGGGCTAGATTAGATCCAAGGGGAAAATTTTGTTGAGACTTGACTGCTTCTATATATCTTTTGATATGCAAAATTTTGAAATAAGTAGTTTAATTGCATTGCACTATAAATTCTTCCCATATTGGGGTAGGTAATATTTGCATTTTTACTTCAGAATTCAAATGCCTTTTAACATGGGACTTCATTTTATTAATAACACTCTTCTTAAAAGCATATATATATATATATATATATATATATATATATATATATATATATAATTATGAACAAGTTTGAAAGAGCTTCCTGAAAGGAGGGAGAGGATGCAAACCTAGTTCAGGGAAGCTATGCCAGAGAAATTAGGGCTCTCCCTGTGCATTGGTAACCATCTCTTAAAATGGCAGGTTAATCTGCACATGACCAGGAAAGTATCCAGTTATTTTTCCAAGACATTTTTCTCAGATCACTTTGATAATCTGTAGAAAGCAGTGAAAATGCATGTACACATAGACATCCTGAAGTTAGCCTAAAATTTCAGGGAGTTAAGGATTGTTGAACTTACTAGAGGATCCATTTGAACCTATTTGATGTGTTTCAAAGATCTCTATTCTATGGCAGCCAGTGTATTTTCACAGAGCAAACTGGTACCATTCACTTTACAAAAAACCTCTTTAAAGCAGTTGGGTTGTAGCAAATACCTGTGAATCAAGGTAGAGAAAATAAACAAAGAAAATATACAAAATAAATACTTAGGCACATGCATAAAATTCTCCTGACACACAGACCCTCATACCTAAAAATGTATACAATTTTACCAATATTACTTTACCAGTCTGTGGTAAGCTAGTCAAGTGGCTGAGGCAATACATCAATCTACGTTTTATTTATTTTTTTTCAATCTGCATTTTATTAAGCTAACTAAATAATATCCAATATTCTCCAACTTGAACACTCCAGCAATAACATTATTAATCTTTAGATTTTTAAAATCACAAGTCATGTATTTCTGTGTTCTTTCAGAGTAGATTTTTACCTAGGGAAATTTGATTTTTGTATATGATGCTTTCTGTAGTACATTTGGCCTCAAATTTCAGAAACTATCCCTAGTGTCTAAGCCATGTTTATTTCCAGAGAAGACAGCCATGTTTCTATTTAATATCTTTACTTAGCAGCTTTCTTTTTTTTTCTTTTTATTTTTTTTTACTTAGCAGCTTTCATAGTTGTCACTAAATATTTCAAATCACATTTAAATTTCTTGACTTATTACATTTGACACTACGCTGACATGTTGGTAACTTTACATGTTTTATAAAAATATATTAAGAACCTTAAGTTTCTTTAAAACAATGTATCACATGTGTCAAATGTAATTCTCAAAATGTTAAATATAATTTTCATGCAAAGAGGTATTGAGCACATGTCAGGATTTCATTTAGTGCAACCAGCAGGATGGCAAAGCCAGTTCAGAAAAGAGATAAATATCTCTGTATCCATAGCTATGTATATACTATGTATATGCATAGAGATATATGTTTATCTATCCATCCATAGCTATATCAATTCTACATATATAAATGTAAAGTTTTGTTGTCAGACCTGAGACCACTTTTTTCTCTATCAATTATTTAATTTGTAGAACCATTCATATTAAAAATTCCATATATTCAAGGTTTCTAATAATAAAAATGGATTCCTCTTGTTAGATCTATGCTTTGAAACCTCTAGTGTCCATCACTTTCACCTGAAACATTGCTGGGTTCCACTCCCAGAGTTTCTATAAACTTGGGGTGGCACCTGGGGATTTTTATTTCTAACAGGTTTCTACCTGATGTTGCTGTTCTATGGCTCACACTTTGAGAACCACTGATCTAAGCATAGGCTTTGCCTGAGGATCAAGTGAGACATGAGGGAGTATTGATCAAAACCCAAAAAAGTCAATGCAACCTCTGATTAGTTCTCTTATTGTTTGTCCTGTATTATTCCTATTTCCTTCACCTGTCCCCCTCTGTACACAAGGATCATCCAAGCCCAGCCGCCCTCCAAGGATGCTCCCTATATTTGAACATCTCAGATCCCTAATATGGGTCAGACTCCCACTGCCTTCTCCACAGAGACATAGTCTTCTTCTTCATTTGTCCTATTTCTGTCAACGATTTCAAATTCATTATAAGCCAGGGCTAGCATGCTCCAAGTCATGTGTTATAAACTGAAATGTGCTTTTTATTTTTAAATTATCATCAGCAGAGCTTCTCTTAGGAGAGATTTTTAGTTTTTGAAAGCTTGGAATTATAAAGAAATAATCCATTCTGCTTTCAATCTTCCAGTTCTCTAGTCTATTCCTCTGTGATGTGGCCTCAATTCCTTGTAAAAAATAAACACTTCAGAGACTTCTGGGAAGCTTGGGAACTGGTAGTAGTGTTAAATCAGGAAGGATGCTGGTCTTGACGATCTCTTGGAAGGGTAGCTTTTGAAGAATGGTGTATCAGAAGCCAGCCTTCTAGAGATTGGGCCAAAATGGTTAAGAGGCAGGGGATATACTAATGGCATGCTTCAGGAGTTTGGCAAATCAAGAAGGAAGGAACGATTTATTTTCAGGAGATGTAACAAGATCAGTTGAAGGGAATTTGTTTTGGAGAAGGTGAATCATTGAAAGCAGAAAAGTTAATGAATTTCTGGGTAGGGGGATGAGGATTTCGGAAGAATACAGAAATAAAACTTGAAAGGAAAGAAGAGGATAATCTGGAGACTAGATGAAGTGGTTAGCTTTGAACAGGAAAGAAATATTTTTATCTAAGCCTAGAGGAGAGAAGATAGAGGCCCTCAGGCTTGAGATCACACATGAGAGGGAGGGAGGGTCGGCATCTTAGAAGCTAAAAAGCTAGAGACTGCTGGGGTGGATGAGGACATCGCTGGCTAAGTCAGCGTTGAAGAGATGTTTGTCATCAGCCAGCTTGGCAGAACTTTCTTCCTCCACTGCTCTGCACTCAGGGTCAGTGCATAAGGTTGAGGTAATGATGGCCTCAACATATGAGGTTTTCTTTGCTCTCATGCAAGTTGCCCTGTATAACAGACGCTACTCTAGTTAAAGGGATTTGACGCTACATGTGGATGGCTTCTTCTGTTTCTTAGATGCCCCAAGTCCATTCTGGCCAGTAGATGAGCTCAACTCTTTCCCATTTTGTGCTAGTGCCTTATACCTACAGGGGAAACCAAGGTGTAAATGTCAGCCAGCTGCCACTAGTTCCTCAGCTTCACGAAAGGAAAGAAATTCCCTAAAGGAGATAAATGTCCCAAGTTATATCATTTATGAATGCTTAATACGATAGTTGAAAACTTCCTGGAAATTTCTTTGTGGGAGTTTTAAATAGTTCTGTGTGAAATAATTTATTTGAAAGCAGAGCCTCTTTCTAGTAAAAATACGATTTGGTTTCTCACCAGTGCTCAGTTTAGGAAAGGATGCTCTGTCTTAGAAGTAGTTGATAGAGTACAATGAGGTTAAATCCCCCAGGTCAGTCAAATGGAGTAATGGAGTCAGGAGGATGTATGTGTCTCTTTCCAGGACCATGAAACCTCCTTCCCCAGGGCGCTCTCGGCTCAGAGACTCTCCCCACGGTGGTGCTTTCTAGATGGTGAGTATTTCTATATTTCACAGAGTGGTGGGGGTTGCATAAGCAGCAGGACAATGCATTGATAGATGGTGCGGAGTGGACCCTGGTCTTCCAAGGGATTATTCAGAAACCCTTCATGTGGCTCTGTGTGATTGGTATTTGCATCTCAAATGATGTGGACTTGTTGATGTTGCAATATACTTTCCTGACGTCATTTTTCTCAAAGAAAGTTGGTTGACTTGGGCTGAACTTCTCAGCCTCAAATTGCTCAAGTGGACATTTCCCTTTCTGTGTCCCCTCCCCTTTCCTAAATCATGTTGAGTGCTTGTCATAAATACAGGCCAGTAGATGGATCCAATACACTGGGGATACGTACTGATTTCTCTGTTGTTTGCTTATTGTGGAACTTTCATATGTTTCCATTAGCCATCATTTCAGTACAAGTATACATTTTTACAAAAATGCAGAAATTTTCAGTTGCATTCGGATCTGCTCTCCTGAGCATGACCTATTGAATGCCTAATATTTCAGGTATTTTCTGACTGGTTAATGGGTTCATTTTCCATTGCAAGCATCCCTCACTCCCTACATGCTGCCCAATTCTGTTTTTCTATCCATTAGTTACCCATGTTACAATCCACTTCTGCTTACCTACTGCCCATTATATTGACTCCATGGTATCTCTCTTGTCTACATGGACATGTGGTTTTCACTGTAGACATTTCATTGGTTGACCTGGGGATGCATCTGAGAAGATATAAATGCAGACAGGAGTATGACAGGATGTGTGAGTATGCGAACAGTACTATGAAGATTGAGCACTTGCATTTATATCAGACCTAACCCATGTGAATCATGACCTAGGTTTTCATTAAGAGCTCGTCACCTACCTCTGAAGAAGAGAATTTACACCACTTTTCCTCTGGCTCCTTTATTCCCTTGTGATGAGAAGCACAATCATGTATTTTTTTCTGAATTCACAAAAGACTTATATTTAAGAAAATTTTGGAAACTTACTTGAATTGTTCTATATATTGTCTGTTCTGTATACACTCTTAGATAAAATTATAAGTGCAGGGACTGGTGTGTTAATACAGATATTCATTATACTCTATAGATATAAAAAACCTTTAAAAGGTGATCACACTTATGTTTAACAAGAACAAAGTAGAATAAGTCCTTCTCAGATAGATTTTACTCCCCTGCTGCTTTTAGGGGGCAGGGACCATGATTGTCTTCTCAACTCATTTCCTTTGGAGAGAAGCTACTCATTAAATATTTATGATTTTTGAATGATCATTTGCATTTTGAGTTATTCCCTCTAGTACTATGTACTTTGTAGAAAATCTATTTATAATATTTGGACTCTGTTGGAGAGATTTAAGTGAGGAGGAACATAATTCTTTTGAGTATTAATAATCAGAATAGTTTCTAGAAACTCAAAGTTTGCAGTTTTTCTCCCAAACCACAGATGTAGCCCAATCCCTTTTAGGAATGCTTAAATAATTATTTTTCACTGTTTTGGCTTTCTTTAGACATGGCTTAGGGACTCAGCCTTGAAGTGAAATGAATCCTTCAATACCAGATGTGGTCCCTGGCTCTGCATCTTCAAGCTTTTTTTCAAAATGAGAATCATTTCCCTGAGAAGTCTGGCTACCTATAGGGATTTTTCACACACACACACCCCAACTTTATTTACTTAATAAATACATACAGAGTCCCAGCTCTGTTTAAGGACCTGTGTTAATGTCTGAAGACATAAAAGAGTAAATGAAACAGAGACCTTTAAAGAGGCAGATATCTTCATCTCATAGTTGTTTCTGAAGATGGTTTGTACAAGAAGAATAAACAAAATGTAAATATGAATAAAGGTAGGAGCAATGAATTCTCTCTGGGGTAGGGAGGATGGGACCGAGGAATGTTTCACAGAGAAGTTGGTCCTGAAGAGACAAGTAAGATTTAGTTAGGGAGATAATGGGGAAGGGCTTTCTAAGCAAGGACATGGAGGACACAGCAGACATGGAGGTCCTGATGTTTCTGTGTAGACTTAGGAATGGGCTAGCAGTAAGGCAGGACTGGAATGTTAAGATTTTGGTGGCATAATATGAGAGAAGGCTATGAATTTGGTGCCAGAACACAGGACTCTGAATGCCATATGCATTTTTTTTCTTCCTAGCAACTTCTGCTGATCGCTTTTACCGAATAGACAGATCTCAGGTAAGCTTTCTTGAGCCTAACACTTTATTGGTAGCTAATCTTATACATTATTTTTTAATGTAAACCCTAAAACATTTACAAATTCTGGAATGGCACTCATAGCCGAAGCTATGAGTTTTCTTATTTGTCTTCACACATGTTGTAATCTGTGGACTCAGGATGATGTGGCTTGACCTTGCAGATGAGTACAGAAAATGACTAGGTTTGTAGATATCATTACCTGCCTGCGCTCTAAATTTTCTCACACACTGCTACTTTTACTGCTTCCTAGCTCAATTTTATGGCTTTTAAAGTTTATTTTGCTTAACAAGTTTGACACCTCCAGTATATATTTATGCTACTTACTTGCAACTCATCACTTCCCAGAGTTCCATAATGAGAAAAAAAAATGCTTATGCCCAATGATAATATGTGTTCTCCTTGTCCAAATTCTCCTGAAAAAAAGAAAAAGGAAGAAGGAGAAGAGGAGGAGGAAGAGAAGAAATAATACAGTATGGAATCCAGTGATAAAACGAGTTGTTAATCATGTCACTTAGTTTGGCCAGATCCTGGGGGTCCAAGTCCAGCTTATTGCACAACTCATGCTGGACCAAGCTGCAGGTGGGGTATCACTTCTTTGACTGTATTTGAAAAGAGGCAAGCCCAACTCTGGTCATACCTGACAAGATCCTGGTCAAGTAGGAATCCCAGGCCAAGAGGGCTTCACCAGCCTCTTCCTCCTGTGTTGCTTCAGGGATGGATGTCCACAGGTCAGACCTCTGAAAATGCACTTGGTCTTTTGTTATGTCATAGACTTTGATTATCTTTCAAGATCAAGAAGGCTTTATTTTGTTACATATCCGATGATAGATTTGAGCATCCTGTCAATCCTCTGACAGACTCCTTTTTCTTCCTTAGGAACATTTGCACTTTGTGATGGAGATTTCCCAAGATGAGATTTTTATTCTGGACCCAGATATGGTGTTGTCACAGCAGGCAGGGACACCTCCAGGAATGCCTGACCTGGTGGTGGAGCAAGCCTCAGGGTGAGTGTGCCTCGTTTTTGGTGACATGGTAGCGAGGCTGGCCACAGGGTGACATCCATATCTGACTTTGCACTTGGCATTTCTAATGACATCAAACTATCTTAAGGTACAGGTTTTCTTGTTGTGTTTCATTAGAGTGTAGCATAACTGGTTCCATTATATGTCTGTCTTTTGAACGGCTGCATAGAATTATTCTTTCCCACCAAGATTTGTACCATGTCTGAGCCTTCTTTACACACCATGTCTACACCTCTTACCAAACTATAAAGTGCTAGTATTTGCATTTGTGCGTATATATCTATAATGCTTGTATTATCCAAAGAAAAATGGGCACAAGTGATTTGACTCTATGTTTCTCCTCCACCACTTCCTCCTTTTTTTTTTGCTATATCTAAGCAGCTTGAGACATAGCTTGTGTAATAATAACTATGATGTATCAAGCACTTATTATAAGCCACCTACTGTCCTAAATGCCTTTATTATATCCCTGCCATCACTTCATAGTAACCAAATCATCAGAAGTGCTCTGTGCTTATTTCCTGATCTGTAAAATAGAAATAAAACCTACTCAGAGAACTGTTCGAAAATTAAATGAATTGATACATGTGAAGTATTTGGGATAGTTTTTGACACTTGGTAGACACTCATTAAATATGATGTTGTTAAAATTATCAGCCTCATCACGGTCATGTAACAATGCCCCTGTGCATCTGGAACTTTTATTACCCTAAATGCATAGATAACTAAATTGAGGCTTAGAGCATTCTTTAACTTGGCCTGTATTGCATAGAAAATGAATGGCAAAATTGAGATTTGGTCCCAAGTTTTATGCTAAAGCTTATGCATTTAATCACTACTTTGAGCCACTAAAATATTATTAATATTTCTATGTTATTTCAGCAATTCCAAAATATTTATTTAGAGAACTTTTTATGTGCCAGCCACTAGTATAAGTGCTTAAGAAACAACAGTGTAAAAAAACAACCCCAAAAGCAAACAAACAAACAAAATCTCTGCCCTTGTGAAGTCTAATGAACTTTGATGTCTTACTGGTATATGGAGGCCAATTAGTTAAAATAAGGATTTCCCTGGAAAGCACACACACATGTGCTCAAATAGCATTTGCAGATTGTGTACACACACACACACACACACACACACACACACACCTACCATATAAGTTGACATGTTCACTTGAGGTAGCCCTTATGCCTTTTTACTCCTCTGCACTAATTTATTTGACCATTGTTGCCATTTCTGAATATCTCCCACTCTGCAAGGGCCAGCTGATATCACTGGTATGTATCAAGTCAAGAAAAGACAGAAGTAGCATGACAGGGCAAGTATATAGTTGTGTTTAGGAAGCCAGAGCTAGTGATATCAGATTTGTTTCCCTGGGCATCCCAGAACATGGTGGAAAAGCCCATCTTCACAGTCCACGTACTGTAAATCCAGTGTGTCAGCTGGAGGGAGGAAAGCAAGTGAGATGTTGGGTCCTCCTGCAGGAGCAGTAGGCACTAGAGTCTCGGTGTCCTCCTGCCCAACATGATCTTGGCTACAGTCTTTGATCTGGGAAAGAATCAACTCATCCTGCCACACTCATCCTGGTCTTTGTCCTTCTCTATATCAAATAATGGCCAAAAGAAATGGCTTCGTCCTGAGTTAAACCTCTATTAGCCCCAGCTCCCAAAACAAAGTAGCCCAAAGTAGCCTGAAAATCCACTAGAACTTCAATCAATCCCTTTCTTATTTCAGATCAGTTGCCCCTTCTGGAAATGAGCAAGGACAGGAAAACAGTGAAAAAGGCTGAGCTTAAAAAAAAAAAAAAAAAAAAAGGCTGAGCTTTTTTATTTCCCAATTTCCATTTCTCCATCAGGTTCCATTACTTCTTATTTACATCACATTTAAAATTACCTAATCGTGAAATGTAGTCTTCTCATCTGTAAAGAAGGCAGAGGCACACAAGCAGTTCATGATGGTTGAGAAAAGTAAATAATAAATGTGAAGAAGGAGCTAATAGATGAAGATTAATTTCCCATCTCCTGTTTGGACAAGCATCATCTTGAGGAAGAGCAGAGTAGGTCCTGTGGCTGGCCCTGAATGCCTAATGCCTGGTACCTTCCTTCTCCCAGGCTGTCAGAATGGTGGAATCCTGCCCTACGGAAGCGCATCCTGAGCGACAGTGGTCTGGGAACGATTACTCCGCATTATGAGGACTCCGATTTGAGGGATCTCAGCCACTCACGTGTGCTACAGTAAGCGCGCTCTCACTGTTCTTTTCCTGTGCACCCTGTGGTCACCTGGAGAGGCCTGCCAGGTACCTCATCAGTGACAAGGGGTCTCTTTCCAGTGCTGCTCCCACGCTGTCTCCTGTGGCACCCAGTGGTTTCACATTGCATTCACTTGGCTCACTTTTCCCAACCCCCAGCTCCTAGTGGATCTTCACTTTCCATTTCTTTTGCCCCCAAACCATACTGAGACCTCACATGTCCATCTACAAATACGTTGAACGTCACCAGTGTTTGCTTTACTGGAGTCCAGTGCTTACTAGATGTCCCTATGTTTGCCGCCTCAGGAAGACATGCATGAAAGAGACGATGAATAGTTGGGAAGTGATGTAGCATCTTTTCATCTGTATGAACATCTCCACTTGCTTTTACAACTCTGTTTCATTTGTGTCCAGTCCTGAGCCTCTGGATGTGTGCTCTGTGTAGCACAGCCAGGTGGTTTTGTTGGCTGAAGTGGAGCTGCTCACGTTTCTCAGTGTCTCTGGGTAAACGAAGCAGCATCTGTTCATGCTTATGGATGCTTTTTGTTTGTAGATCAGAATAGTCGGTGTGTTTTCTTCTGAGGTCGGATCACAGTCAAGAAGTAGGATGAATGTTGGAGTTCTGGCAACGGTGTTGGCACATTTCTGGCTGGGGAATCTTTGTCTCCCTGTGATATCTCCTTGCAGGAGCGGATTCTAGGTACAGTCAGTGGTCATGGGTACATTTCTTCCACAATTCAGGCCAATCACCCCATCTCAGAGGCCATACAAGTTGGTTGATTCAAAATTTGTGATATTAGACTGATTTCCATTCCTACCCGAGGCCCTAATTGAATAGCGAAAATGGCCTTGTTGCCCTGTAGTCTTACCATTTTTACAAAATAAAATGAGTCAAAGTCTTAGAAGCCTATGGTTAACTGAAGAGGTGTTGTTTCTAAAGGAAGACCACAGCAATTTTGGTATGACAAGGGGGAGAATAAGTGAAAAATCTGGAGCTCATTACTTCTTTGGTGAAGGCTCTACTCAAATATCCCAGGGGCAAAAGGCAACTTCATTTTAATTGCTTCTCGGCACTGCCTCTTATTTTTGTTGTGTGAAGAGTAGAAAGGAAAAAAGTGAATTACCATGGATTTTCCTTTATAATGCAACCATATAGTTAGATTTTGGTCACATCTTGATTCCTTACAACCCAGGGTTGTTTTTCCATTTCTTTTTTATATGAAATTGATGCTTATAAACCATGGTGAGTCAGCCACCCGTTGATGGTTAAAGACATGGCTATCTAGCTGTGGGCAGATTTATTTGAAAATTAGAGTTTAGCCACAGAAATAGAAATTATGCCTAGACCAACCAGATGAGTATTGTAGTTGTTCTTCCAGACAAGCTATTTCCAAAAAGTAGAGTATGACCTCACCCTGGTTTCCTGTTTCCTGATTTCCCTATATGGAGTATATTAAAGTATGTATCATGATATGTGAAGTGATTGTTTCTAAGGCAGTAAATATCCTTCCTAATTCACAAATAGATGTACTACTTTATATTAATAGCCAAGTTCTTAAAACTCTACATAAAAATCAAATCTATTATTTATTTGGGATATATTATCCTTCAAAGATTTCTCTTAATTTTCTTATTGATCTCCACTTGGCAGCTGTTAGTTGTCCTGGTCATTTATACTACCTTAGCTCTCAAGTGCACTAGAGCAGTTAACTTAAAAAAAAAAATTCTGCCAAATCTCCTTGAAAACAAAGTAACACTCAAATACTCACCTTCTAGTGCTCGAGTCTCCTAGCTGAATCTCTGGGCATCATGGAAGCGAGACAAGTTGTTCCCCCTGGCTTCTGTCTGAATCCCTGACTCAGAATACAGGACCATAATAAAACAGTTGTTTTAAATCACTGACAGTAAGCAAATACCGTACCCTACCCTCATTTTGCCTATTAATTCTTTAATTTTTTATTACTGTTACTGTGTCCATTAATTCCTTAGAAAGAGCATCTCTTTGTTTCCTTCAGAGATCATCTCTGATGCGAAGAGGTATATTTGCAGTTTATCAAATAGTTCAATTATATAATACCTAGATATTATGTGCCATGTTAGTAATAGCTACTACTGATAGAATGTCTCCTGTTTGCTTTGTGCCATAGATAAATTATCTTTAATTCCTGTAACAACTTCTAAATCTTGCCATTGCTTAAAAGATGAGTAAATTGAGGCATACAGAGTTTAAAATACTCATTTTGGATCATGCAAGATAGCAAGAATGGAAATTGTGGTTTGAGTCACTTGGCTTGACTTCTGACTTCATGGTTTTTCTGACCATACTGTATAATCTTCCTGAAGGGCTAGTGCAAAGGCATGGTGCCCACAGCTCCACGGCCCAAAAAAGGTTTGCTTTGGTTTCTATTTTTTTAGCATCTTTAGTGTAGTGGGGAGAAATATATATTTGCATATATAATATATTTGCATACATAATCTCCCTGTATAGAAATTTTCGCTTTATACATATATATTATTATATATATTTAACTACAAATTAACCCCAAAGTAAATATGATTGAGAATTAATTTTAAAGCAGTTTTACTGCTTTTTTAAAAAAAAGATTGAAATTTTAAAAATGACTTTTATTTTCAAAAATTATTAAACTATATTAAATTTGTCCCAATGTAAATAAGTACAAAATTATTTGAAAGCTCATTTGTTCTGTTTCTTAAATTCTACATATGAGCCAAGGGAAAAAGAAATTCCACATATGAGGTAAATGGTATGGAGCTTCCTTAAAAGTTAAAAATAACCTATGACCCAGCAATTGCCCTACTTGGTATTTAGCCAAAGGTACAAACACAGTGATTCAAAGGGGCACATGCACCCCCATGTTTATAGCAGCAATGTCAACAATAGCCAAACTGGGGAAAGAGTCCAGATGCCCATTGATTGATGGATGGATAAAGAACATATGGTATATATTTACAATGGAATATTACTCAGCTATCACAAAGAATGAAATCTTGCCATTTACAATGATATGGATGGAACTAGAGGGTATTAGGCTAGGCAAAATAAGTCAGAGGAATACAAATACTACATGGTTTCACCCATATGTGGAGTTTTTTTTTTTTTAAGATTTTATTTATTTATTCATGAGAGACACAGAGAGAGGCAGAGACACAGGCAGAGGGAGAAGCAGGCTCCCTGCAAGGAGCCTGTTGTGGGATTTGATCCCAGACCCCCAGGATCACACCCTGAGCCAAAGGCAGATCCTCAACCACTGAGCCACCAGGCATCGACACCTCATCTGTGGAATTTAAGAAACAAAACAGGTGAACATAAGGGAAATGAAGGAAAAATAAAATAAGAGGAAGACAGAGAAGGAGGCAAACCATAAGAGACTCTTAACTCTAGGGAACAAGCTGAGGGTTGCTGGAGGGAAGTGGTGGGGAGATGAGAGATGGGGTAACTGGACGATGGGCATTAAAGAGGGGCTGTGATGTAACAACCACTGGGTGTTATGCGACAATGAATCACTGAATTCTACCTCTGAAATTACTAGTACAGTAAGTGTTAATTGAACTGAATTTGAATAAAAATTTTTTTAAATGAGGCAAACCAAGAATCTGTAACTATAGAGAATAAACTGATGCTCACCAGAAGGGAGGAGGGGTGGGGATAGGTGAAACAGGTGACCAGGATTAAGTAATGCACTTATGATGAGCACCTGGTGTTGTATGGAAGTGCTGAATTAGTATATTGTACATCAGAAGCTAATATTACATGTATGGTAAGTAGCTGGAATTTAAAGAAAAAGTTTTTAAAATTATAGGAAGGGTATTCATGTGGCAAATACCCTGAAATATTATGTTGTTTTATGTTATTATTTGCATTAGGTCTTTCACTCCATAAACAACATAGAGTAACATAAAAATATGTTGTTTTATGAACTTTTTTGTTTATATTATCTTTGTACTTTCATTACCTACATTGAACAATGCATATGCTTTTCAGACTTGCCATTCATTCAATGGTCATATTTTTAAAATATATTAGTATTGATATATGCAGTTTTTAATTAACTCTACTTGGTATAGAATATTGCATCAATAGTACTCCATAACTTATTTCTCCATTTTGATAGTGATTTCTAATATTTTATTATTTTAAAACTGCAGTGAATACTCTGCTGCATGTGTCCAGTGTTGCAGGGTGTATGTGCAGTTTCAATTTTGCTTGATATTCCTGTCAGGAATATTAAAAGTAAGTATGTAAAAAAGACCTGAAGAATTATTGTAATATTTTAGGTACAGTTGGCATCTGCTGCTTTCAGCTTTAAAGCCCCAGTAAGTTTGGAGAGAGAGAAAGTCCCAGTTTAACATCATGTTCACAATATTAAATAATCCACTACATTAAAAAAATCAAAAGGGAAATTTTGAATTCCTAGAACTGAAAATACTATTTATCAGACTCTGCAGAAACCACTAGTCTTACTCACAGAATGATTTATGACTATGAATTCACTTATCAAAGGAAAAATGATTCATACAAATAAAGCATTCAGTTTGATAAACTGGGAAAAGAATCCCAGAGTAGAAAACAAAGAAATAAGAGGGAGGAAGAATCATAGAGACAGAAATCAATGACAAAGAGAAATTGTGGAAGGAGCCTCAGTGTCCATCGAAAGATGAGTGGATAAAGAAGATGTGGTTTATGTATACAATGGAATATTCCTCAGCCATTAGAAACGACAAATACCCACCATTTGCTTCAACGTGGATGGAACTGGAGGGTATTATGCTGAGTGAAGTAAGTCAATCGGAGAAGGACAAATATTATATGTTCTCATTCATTTGGGGAATATAAATAATAGTGAAAGGGAATATAAGGGAAGGGAGAAGAAATGTGTGGGAAATATCAGAAAGGGAGACGGAACATAAAGACTCCTAACTCTGGGAAACGAACTAGGGGTGGTGGAGGGGGAGGAGGGCGGGGGG